CTAAGAGATAATGGTCCAATATATTATGATCTAAGCAATAATAGTTTAAGTCTCGCAGTTCAGAAATATAGTGAGTTATATGCTGGGTTGATGAGAATTAAAGCTTGATATATAGTAATAAAACTAGTGATCTAGAGATGAATAGATTGGTGTATGGAGCACAATATTTTCCTGCCACAGATTAGAGTGGGGATACTAGTCCATAAAAAGGGAAGTATACCATAAAATCTCCTTTTTCACTTGTTATGCATGAAGAGCTATAATATGTACAGTTTTACAAACAAATGCATGAAAAGAATAAAGACCTTTCCTAACATCAAAAGGTTCCTGACTCAGGCAAAGTTTTGTTTTACCTTAAAAGATAATTGAACTAAAATGAAACTAAAATTCCTGTCTGTGACAATCCATGCCATCTTCTGTCAATGCTGATTTCAGTGATGCTTCACCTGTTCCTGTAGCTTTTACGTTTGACTTGGCTTTAAAAAAAATATATAGTTGTCAGATACTACAGAAGGCAAATAAAAGAGCGTATCTGTATTTGGGCCAGCAACTAAAATAAAAATTTTAACATAAGTTTATAGATTAAAATGTTTTTTTCAAATCTATTTTCTTAATGTGAATGAATTGCATGAGCGAAACCAGTTTAGCAGTACCATTAGTCAGGTCTTTTGTCTTGCTCATATAAATCAGTCAATAACAACAGATGGGCTGTACACTTTATTGTGTGAAAATAAAGATGAATGTGACTTGCAGCTCAGAGTTACTGAGCACAGAAGGGGATTTGTTACAACAGGGGAGAGCGATGCGCGCCTCCTATTTGCGTTTGATCAAGGTTGTAAGGGGAACTTGCTGCACATGACATTGACTTGATTGGAAATCAAGTACGTGAATTTTTAGTGTTTGTTTGTACCTGCACTCCCAGATCACTCCCAAATGGTTTAATTAGTTTTTTTTCCTCCACACAAAAGAAAAAATGTCTAACTCCTTAGGAGAGTTAAATAAGAGAGATACAAAGTCTGCTGTTTTGTTGCGATGTTGGGAGATGAACATTTTAAATAACCAGTGATAACCGTCAGGGAGATTCAGATCAAAGTCTCAGGCAAGACTTATCCTCTTGTACAGAGATGGAGCACGCAGCAAGAGGCGACTCTCATCCAAATTACAGGCCCAGCAGGCCACGTGGTTGTAACACAGTCAGCCCTGAAAAAGCTAAGTCAGAGTTTGGTCTTTGTATGGATGCAGGAATGACCTGTGTTCAACTAGAGCTGGTCAGGAGGAACTTTGATGGAAGTGTTTGTTAGGTTGTTGGAAACTGTTGCCTTCTGAAAACACAGATTCGTGAGATTGCTTCAGTTTTACCAAAAGTTCATTTTGTGGACAGTTGCAAAAAATCTCAACACAGTCAAATGTCCTATACTGGCATTTTCAGAGGTAAGCATCTGTGTTGGATTTTTAAGAATATTTTGTTATATAATTACACTGCTGTTACAACTATGCCCACATGTTGCTACAAGCATTACAATAAGAGCATAACAGCCTATCAGTCCAATTAAAAAAAAAAAGAAATGCAAGACTTAGATCCAAGATGCCTCTTTAAGGTTGATGGTTCAAAACCCTCTCCCAAATTAGCAGCCGAATCAGCCAACTCTCCTAAGTAGTGCCACAGCTGTGCCTGCTGTGACGGGCCAGCCATCACAAGGGGAATTAAGGTTCTTCCTCCTCAATGTGTCCTCCTCCCGAGAGGCCAAGTACCACAGCCCGGCATGAGGGAACTGCGGCTGCACACCCTGTCTACCTGTAAATCACCATCCTGTGCCTGGCGTGCCCGGCTGGGAGGGGAGCGGAGGTTCGCCTCCCCGCAGCAGCCGATCCCGTCTCTTTGGGGAATGTGGGGAACACCAAGTGCCTTCCCGCTGCCATTCGCACAGGCTGATAAAGCCGCCTGTTACCTTTAAGCAGCGAATAGCAGGAGCAAGGGGCATGGAATGCTAGCGCAGGAAGGACTGGCTTTGCGGTGTGACTGGGGGGGGCGTCTGCCAAACACAGAAAAACCCAGTCGTGGTCATGTTCTGGATGCTCCTCTTAAGAATCTGCTCCTTAAAACATCCAACGTTGCGACTAATAGCAACAGTACAAGGGCAGGGATTGAATGAACATACTCCAGTCTGAAAAGCCAAAGAAAATCTGTCTTAGCTACTATCTTAAATTTATTCTAAAAGTGCAGATTTTAAATGCCAGTTTCCAGGGACATGGCAGCCTCTGCGCGCCCTGTGTGTGCGACAGTTTGTGAATGGTTTCCATCTATATCCCTAACATTTAAGAGCAGTTCAGATGCCTCTCGCTAGCAATGAGAAAGAGCGTGGAAAAATAAAGCTGGGCTCTAGTATTGCTTAAGAAAAGTAAGGTGGAATTATAGCAAGAAGCCAGTAAGAAAACTGACCTGTACCTGACTGTTGGGATGCCAGGCTGGTGGAGAGAAACACCTATCGCCACAATCAGACTGTGAGACCGCGTTGTCGTGTGCTGGGCAGTCCTGTGAATCCACTTTCACATAAAAATAATATTTAAACTTCAGAAGCAATTATCTTCAGGAGGGAAAGCCAAAGCCCACACACATTCTCCAGGCTGATTAAAGAAATCATTTAAAACCCCACCTTTTTTCTTCTCTGCAGCTTGCTGATCCCCCCTTTTAGACTTTCTAGTTACATCTTTGATAAGATGCAGTTAATTGGTCAGGCAGCCTAAGTATTGCCTTTGATAATGTGCAGAAATCTAGTGGTGAAAATAAATACATTTGTTCTTCCAGTCACCAGGAATTAGTGAAGCAATACTTGTTTATTTATAAAACATATGTGTGCTTTGTTAGTTTCCATCTGTCTGCTCGCTGATTTGCAATTAAATGACCAGAAGAAAAAGATCCGTCCTGTGGCAATTCAGGGGAAATGATTCATCTCTAATGTTTCTGTGCTGTGGATGTCTACGGAGCAGCGTGTGTGAGAGGGAGAGGGAGGGAGTGGGGAAGAGGGGGAGATACGGATAGAAGGGGGTGAGGAATGCTGAAAGGCCTCTCACTTTGGTTCAAACATGTTTTGTTGTCATGAAACCAAAAGTGGACTCCCACTAACTTATTGTAACTCATCTTTCTCTTTGGAAAAAAATGGGGAGCAAAATGGAGCAAGGAAAAAATACCTAATGGAAATGGGGCTGCAAAAAAAGGAGGCTGGTGTGGTCCAAGTGAAAAGGAAACCGCAGAAAAAAAGGAAGGATGGGAAAGTGATAAAAATTATATTTAATTTGAATGTTTGGAGGTTGTTAGTTGTTCTAGCATGCCGCAGATTTTCCTTTTGCTAGACAAATGTCAGGCCTTACTCAGCGGCCCTTTCTTCTATCATTGAACCAGTTACTTCTATTAACTCTCAGGGAGTGATGCAGTGGTGAGTCAGGGCCCGTTACTCTTTGTAAAATGAGACATCCAAAAGGGCAGCAGGATTTTTAAATTAATATGAAGGGGAAAAAAAACAACAACAAAAAAAATTGGTGAACATATGTTCCCTTCATAAATAGTTCAAGAGGTTCACAAAATCCTTTGCTGTGTAAGATATTCCCATCACTGATAAAGATGTACAGTCTACCTCCATATAGCTACAAGGACGGGTAGCATATTGCCTTCTCCCCCTGTCCCCTTCATCTGTTCCTGTTCTTTCGTGTCTTTCTGCAGAAGCCGTAGCTGGAAGGAGGGCCTTCCATGCCCCATGTAGTTCTGGACACAGCCTGCACAGGCATGTCTCAGGTACAGGGAGGTAGCTGTCTCATGTTTCATCTTCATGAAGACTGGCAGGGAGAAGACCGCCAGCCTTCCGCAGTATTTTTAGTTTGATGTTCTGTGGTGTTTTATTGATCAGCAGCAGCGTCTGTCACTGTGTATAACGATAGCTGCTTCAGAGGCAGAAAGGGGGAGATTGAATAAGGCCTTCAGGACTGTCAGCTCGCTGCGGGTGGATCTCTCAGCAGTTGCTGCCCCCTCATCCCTTTGCCGCTGGGAGCCTCTTGGATGTTCTTGTGCGCTGATGGCAGGTGGGGAGGTGGATGGAAAGAAGGTTACTCTGTGCTGAATTGGTGCTTTCTGATGTGGAAGATGACTTCTGCAGAGAGGGGGCAGAGGGGTTGTAAAGGGGGATTTGTGAAGAGGGAGGGAGAGAGAAAGGAAAGTACGTGCGTTGGGTGTTTTCAGTGTTACCTCCTGTGCGTTGGATTCTTTTCCTCCTTCTCCAGATGTCTCACATGGACTTCTTTTCACTACCAGCAGCACCAAAGAGGTGCAGAGGTTCCTTGCATCAATAGCATGCATCCATGTTGGCCCAAAACGTCACCACCTCACAGCTGCTCTGCTCCCAATCCCTCTCCATAGTGAAGACTGCACAGACCAGTCTACACCATCATTAGCAGTCTTAGCAAGAGAGTCAGAGTACGAACAAAGAGGCGCAGACTGGACTTGCATTTATCTTTTGCCCTTAGAGTGGATGTCAAATTGCTCGTCTGAAACGAAAGGCGCTATTTCCTATTTGTTCCAGCCTCCGCCAATGCTCGCTATGTGCATGCAGTTGATTAAACAGTGCGATAAGTCACTATTGAAAAGTGTGACCTTGAAGCCTCCAAAAGTTGCTGTTATTTCTTTTTATGGTTTTGCAGGCAACTCTCCCAAGTGCTAACATAATGCTTTACTGCTAGTATTGCTGGTGCTGATAACAAAGGACCGTTCCCAGACATGCGAATGTGCACATCCCTGTTGCATCACATAGAGGAAAGAGAGCTCTGGATGTAAAGAACAATTTCTTCTAGTCTGAAAACAGCAGTGTATTTAAACCTCAGTCTAGGAATGCTCCTAAGATAACATTTTATTCTAAAAGTATGCTCCTTTTGACATTTTCAGAAAGTGCTTGTAAACGTTTGCCAGCTGAATTTTGGTTGTTTCATTTGTCCTTTTTATCTCTTCTCTACAGATGATGATTTTTTTCATGAACTCCCAGAAACTTTTCCATCTGATCCTCCAGAGCCATTGCCCCACTTCCTCATTGAACCCGAAGAGGCTTACATTGTGAAGAACAAGCCTGTGAATCTGTACTGCAAAGCCAGCCCAGCCACGCAGATCTATTTCAAGTGCAACAGTGAATGGGTTCATCAGAAGGACCACGTGGTGGACGAGAGAGTAGATGAAACCTCTGGTGAGTTTGTGTTATGTTGTGGAGGGGCAAGAATTAAAAAGCATTAATATCATCAAGCCCACTGTTGTAATTGAGCTATTTCATATGGTAGCTACTTTTCTTTACTCTTGATACAGGTGTGAATTCTGCATCTGGCTTTATTGAACATTAGTTGTCATGGCATGGAGGTGGTGTCTGCATCCAGGGCAGTTAGTAAAACATGATTGTGGGGCACCCTGCCCGAGTTTGAAATAAAAATCCCAGGAGAACTGTGTGCAGACAACATGGAATTGCTCTCTCAGCCAGGTCTACTCCCTGTTCACTTCCCCAGTGTCACAAATTCCCAGTGGTTGGACTGTGTCGTAGTCACAGACCAAGTACCGCGTTCTCCCCAAAGTACCAAAGAGCAATCGGGTTGTTCCTAGAATGATGTTTTCTTGGGGGAATTCTAGAAAAAAAGGAGAAATTTAACCAGCCTTCCAGCAAGGAAGAGAAGGCACACCTGGGCACTGTTTAGAGCAGCGTATTGATCCAGAGCAAGCACCTGGCTGTTATTCCATTACACTTTTCTGCCTGCTCCATAGAGCCTGTATGAAGGAGAACCACAGCAGGTTAGCAAGGAAAAGAAAAAAAAAAAAAAAAAAAAAAAAAAAAAGGCCAAAAGCCTCATTCTTCCTCAGTCAATACCAGTAATCTTACTTACATTCATGGAAGAAAAATATGACCCTCATATTACAAAAAAAAAAAAAAAGTTTAAAAACTTGATTAATAAACCAGCGTAAATCAAAGATATGATTGTTCCCGTTTGGGAAGACTGGAAATCAATAGAGTTTGAGTCACATGCAAGGAGAGAAGCGGGACTTACTGCTATTTTGATGGCTCTGAGAAATAACTGGATACCAAGCAAGAAGGTACCTTTCATTTGGGGATTACACCACCACTTGGTCTAATTACTTCGAAAAATAACTCTACCAGATGTCTTGGAAGTCTCTTGTGAACCGGGTTTTATTTGTTTCAGCTCATTTATTTGCACAGAGATCAAAAGCATAAGCTTTTAATGGCACTGTGGTTCTCTTAGCTTAAAAAAGAGAAGGTGGGTGTAGGAAGAAGGGCTGCAGAAAAAAACCTGAACTAAACTTTGGGCCTGTTTATTTGTTTGTAAGAATTGACTTTTCCAACAAGTTGACTGCAGCAGAAAAACTAAAAAAAGATATTCTTGTTACTTAGTACATCTTAATTTTTTTTCATCCATGCGAATCTACTGGAATGAATAAGGACAAGCAGGAGGGCAGCTATCACTGTGTTAATTTTTTAAGCTTTTATTAACATCGGCATTCAGAAACATGAAAAAGTTTCACTACAGGTGAAACTTCATTCTTTTTTCCCAAATTCTCATTGTAGAAGAACTTCATGCTGCCATAAAGCAAATTGCATTCTAGAAATGTAGAAGGCCAGTCTTGAAAAGAGATGCATCTGAATATATTAGAGGACAAATGTTTTGCATAACAAACAGCAGCAATTATATGCAAATGAAACCCATATCTAATTAGAGATTAACATAATGTACTGGAGTTTGGGGGGGGGGGGGAGGAGGGTGTCAAAAGCTGCGCACATCATATTATTAGCACAAGAGCCACAAACCCAGTCACACTAATAGCTTGTTAAGATGAAACTGTCATCGGAACCTAAATTTGTCAGTCAACCTGGTTGTTGCCAAAAGGTTGGTTAATGCAGGTCACGGTTGCAGTGTTCATGCACCTTCCTGTACATAGACTGGGAATCTAGGGCTCATAGCACATAGGTAGTATAGAAATGGGTAAACAAGGTATTTAAGGTAGTGGTAAAATAATACTTTCTTCAAAGCAATGGAAGCTTGGGAAAATATATCCACTGCAGATGGAGCTGGAGAAAAAGTTGCAGGAGACAGCGGCTGTGAGGATTCATTCTGGTGCCCGAAGCAGGAGGTATTGGCTTGGCAGCTTGCACCAGTCAGGCTGGCAAAGCCCTTTGACTCTACCACTTCTGAGGCTATTTTGGTTTCTCTTGCTATTTTTGGCTAGCTAGCGCAGTAGTTGTAACCTAGGGCACAGCAGCAGCGCCTGAGCTGCTCGGGGGGTGGCGTAAGGATGGCAGCCCAAGCCTGCGCTGCTGCTGGCTTCAGGCTTGCAGGTGGAGAGGCTGGAGAAATTGTCCACAAACCAGGTTAGGTCTGGCCTTTACAGGGATGCCCTGGGGCTCAAAGGGATCTCGGTTACACAGTGCTTCTGCTGGGCCAGCTGTGTAATCCCTGCAACTCAAAACTGGGTGCATTCTTCTCTTCTGGTATTTTACCATTAACTGTTCTGCCTAAAATATGAAGAAGAGCACCAGGCTGAGGCGGTCTTCTGCTGCTGTTTTTGAGCTAGGCTTTCTCTTTCAGTTCTTTAGGTAGAAAAGCAAAGGAAAACAAGACAAACAGACAATAAAACGTATGAGAGGAAAAAAAAGTAAAGGTCACCTGTGCTTTCTTTTCTAAAGGATGGGTAATCAGGAAGAAAGAGGACTAAAATACAGGTGTGATGCTAGCGGTATATCATCTTGGGATTGTAAATGATGCATGAAAGAGAGAAATAGGTTTTGATTTGCAAAAGATTATGTGTTCATGGACTTTGAGCCTGTGCCCAGGAATGAAATCTGTGTAGAGATGATTAACTCTTCTTATAAGGCAAATTTGTTTCTGTCATTGATAAAACCAGAGACAACAGCACGGCAACAGCAGTGGCACAAGAGATGGAATGAGAGTACGGCCGAGCTCTCATTGAAAGAGAGCTGCTAGATAGAAATGTTGAATATATTAAGAAGGTTAATTTTTGAGAGAGATAAATAGATATTTATACCTTTTTCCTATGTATATATATTTTCTTCCTTTGTAACAGAGAAGGTACAAAAGAAGAATTATATGCACTTTGCACCGTGGGTTATTTTTAAACAGTAGGTAAAGCATTGCTGTAAAGAACACGCACAGGGACTCTGTGGGAGTTGTTGCCTTCTGGTTGGAGAGAATGAGAACAGTAATAGTGACAGGGTGTTCTAGTACCACTTTATTTAATTAAATTAGCCTGAAGAGAGAGCCTTGCAAAAAAAAAAGCCAATGATTGAATCTGAGAAGCCAGAAGCTTTGCATAGAAGATCATTACATTCAGTTTTTTAATCCTCAGACTCACTGGAATTTTTCTTCTTTATGGAAAAAGCTAAGCTTTTCATAAAGAAGTCAAATGGGTGCTTTGAAAATTTTTAGTGCACATCTTTGACTCTTTCATTTCCTACGTACGTGAAATGCAAGGCAGGGCATGGTCTTTTTTATGTTTTTACTGGAATATTTTCCCACTAATGTGGAAAAGTATATGTAAAGAACAAGAGCACTGGTTTTGAAAAACAAAGATGAAAGTTGTTTTGAGGGAACACATTTGGCTTTATGGCTGACTGTCATAAAAGATAACAGCAATGAAAGTAAAAGGAACCCTGCAGAACCAATGCTTTTGGGGGCAAGAAAATTCCATTGTCACAGGGCAGGAAGCTCAGTAGCATCAATAATTGTTAGAGCAATTTGTGCACATTTTCCAAATGACTGTACCTCTGAAAACAACTATGGCAAAAGGTTTTATTTTGCTTGTGTGCTTTTTATGGAGAAATATTTTCAAACACGCACACCCCAACTCTGCAGTGGTGGGAGAGCTGCAGATGTGTAGAAAATCAGTGTCCTGCACCCCTTTCATTTGTCCAGAGAGATTAAATGCTGCAAAATCAAACCCCACATCCCAGTGACGTACAACAGAGAAAAATCAGGACTACAGGGACCTTGGTTTTGTCTTTTCAATTTCTATATGCATTGTAATAGTTTCTCCATGGCTGTTAAGGTGAAATGATCTATAAAACCCCTCTTGCCCTCTGCAATGCCAGTGACATGTTCTTCTTTTCTCTCCTTCAGGCAAGGAGAAAACAACATTTGAGACTTTTCTAAGTGCTAATTAAATAGACATATTGGGCAATTCAGCCAGCATTACTGTTTGCCTACACTTTCTGTCTTCTTTTCTGGGATGCATGGGGAGAGGAGGGCTCCAGAGTTTGCTGATGACCACCTCCATGTTCCTAGATAGCAGCAAGACGGAATAAGGACTCTTGTGCCTGGCCTGATGCCCCAGCTAATGCAAAATGAACTGGCTTATCAGTGCAATCTCAGAGGAAAGGCATGCTGAGGGAGGCTCTGTTAAGGAGCAGGTGAAGTCACCGATCCTTTTTCCCATGTCCTGCCTTCAGAAGCAGGCTCTCAGAAGACCCAGTATCCCCCAGGAGCATCCCTGGTGCCACCCAGCCCTCAGCAGGGAGGATAGGATGGCCTCAAGGACTTCCCCTTCAGCTGCCCCTTCAACTCTCTGCCTCCCCACAAATCAATGAAAATAGAATCTGGCTCAGAATAAGATTTTTGTCTGGTTAAGAGGGGTTTATCAAACTGCACTGAGGTGGATGAATATGCTCTTCTTTTCAGGCAGAAATCTTAGACTTCTCTGTTTCAGTTTCTTTACATAGCCGTGGCTGTGATTCCCACACTTACCTCCCACCATTACCTTTCCCCATTAATAAAGTATTTTGGGATGGCTTGCAGATTTGATCAAAGGAGACTGAGCTTTTGACGTAGGGTCAGCATTGATCTGGCAAATAGGAGGTTGTTACCTTAAGCAAGGGGTTTGGCAGCCTGTTGAGGGAGTAGGTACCCAGCTAGCGAAGTCTTAAATAGATCACACTCTCAACAGAGAGATCAAAGATTGACGCCTGCCCTTTTGCCTTTAGAACAGCTCTTACAAGATGCTGCAGCCAAGACAGCAGTGGGGAAACCTCCACAGCAACTGCCTCTGCTCTTTTGGCACCATGTATAGAGGCAGAAAAAAATCACTTCCAGCACATGGTGCTCTATCACTTTTTCTTCCTCTCTGTGTGTACATCTCATGAAAGCTGATTTTTTTGGTGGCACCACGTTTCGGAAG